AAACAGAGCTTAGAGCACACGGAGGAGGAGCCCTCGATCAAGACAGAGCATCCTTACATCTGACTCAGGATGGCCTCCACTATTTGGCAGTGTCTTTCCAGGCAGTTAGCCAGACTTTTCCAAGGCTATCAGATCAGGACTTCAGACATTTGGATATTTGCTCTATGCTGCCTTCAAATGGTTCTGGGGATTTTTCATGGAGCCAGCCAAGGCTATAGACCCTCTTACTCTTGCATTAAGGGAGAGAGGATTGGAAGGTGAGAGTGATTTTAAAACTGGAGGAAGAAACAATAGAACAGACTAGAGCTGGAAGGGACCTTGGAGGTCTTCTAGTCCAGCCCCCTGCTCAAGCAGGAGAACCTATCCTATACCATCTCAGACAAGTGACTGTTTAGCCTCTTCTTAAAAATATCGAGTGATGGAGCACCCACAATTTCTGGGGGTAAGCTGTTCCACTGGTTAATTGTCCTGTCAGGAAGCTTCTCCTTAATTCCAGGTTGCTTCTCTCTTTGATCAGTTTCCAACCATTGTTTCTGGTCCTTCCGTCTGGTGCTCTGGTGAATAATGTGACCCCCTCTTCTAGCTTTTATCCTGGCCACTTTGGGAACTAGGAGGGTGATTGTGTCTTGTAGGCCTGTAGCTCAAATGCTTGCAGGCTCAGCCACCAACAATCTGCAGTCTTCTGAGATTTAATTCAAGAGAAGCATGCCTTGCTTGATCAATTACCATTCAGTTCTGTTGATTTTAATTTCTGAACAAATAAGAATTTGGTGGAATATGAAACTTGCTCAAACTCTCCCAAGCAAGTTTAGTGCCTGCAATACTACACTGTAGTCACTAGATGGCAGATGTGTGATGCGCAATAAAATTAATGCACCATATGATATGCAGTTTGGTTTTTCCTTTAAACGACACCATATTTTTTCCTGTTAATGTTTCATTTTACATAATTAGAACTTTGGAAGCTAATTAAAATAGATATCAGAAACCTCAATCAGCAACAATTGTATACGTATCAAAAGCCAATAGTTTGGCTCTTAATGCTTGGGAGATATGACATTTAGAATAGAATAGAGCTGGAAGGGACCTTGGAGGTCTTCTAGTCCAGCCCCTTGCTCAAGCAGGAAGACCTATACCATCTCAGACAAGTGACTGCTAGACTAGCCTCTTCTTAAAAATCTCCAGTGATAGAGCACCCATGATTTCTGGGGACAAGTTATTCCACTGGTTAATTGTCCTCACTGTCAGGAAGTTTCTCCTTAATTCCAGGTTGCTTCTCTCCTTGATCAATTTCCAACCATTGTTTCTTGTCCTTCCCTCTGGTGCTCTGGTGAATAATGTAACCCCCTCTTCTTGGTGGCAGACCCTCAAATACTAGAATACTGCTATCATGTCTTCCCTATTTCTTCTTCTCTTTAGACCCAAACCCAAGTCCTGCAGCCGTTCTTCATATGTTTTAGTCTCCAGGCCTTTGATCATCTTAATTGCTCTTCTCTGAACCTTTTCCAAAGTCTCAACATCTTTTTTGCGATATAGTGACCAAAATTGGCTGCAGTATTCCAGGTGTGGTCTTACTAGGGTTTTATAAAGCGGTATTAATACTTTGCATGATCTTGATTCTATGCCTCTGTTTATACAACCTAGGATTGTATTAGCTTTTTTGGCTGCTGCTGCACACTGCTGGCTCATGGTCAAGTGATCGTCCACTAGGACTCCAAGGTCCCTCTCACAGTGGCTGTTTTTGAGCCAGATCTCCCCCAATCTGTACTTGTACCTTTGATTATTGAATAAGAATGAATGGAACGGCCTCTCCAGTAAAACTTCCAAATGTGTTACTTCCAGGAGAGGCAAACTCTTACAAAAGGGTCACAAAAAGGGTCACAAAAGTCAGATGGCACCCCAACTATGCAATCAAAACCCTGCCCTTTTTTTAAAATTTAGACCCAGAAGCCATGGCACCTACCCAATTCGATTTAGGTTTCCTGTTCTTTTTTTAATGGGAAGTTAGCATTGCATTATTATTTCCCCAATGCTGTGACCTCAGCTATACCCCATAAGCATCCTAGAGGGAATCATGCCAGAGGCACCTCAGTGTCTGGCTGGGAAAGTTGCCTGCTTGCCCAGAAAGACACACAAGAAAGGCCCAGAAAAATAAAGTTAGGACAGTAAAGAGCATTCTGTTGCCTATCTACCTGCTTTGTGTTGGGCCTCATCAAACAGTTTAAGACTGGCAAACCCCAGGTAATTATTTCATCACTGTCAGAGTCATACACAATAATTTGGAATGCTGGACCTTCTACATCTTTATTCACTTACATTAATTCTACTGCATAATTCTGAAGGTCTGGGGTCTAGCCATCCTAGTGCCCATTTATAAAAAGTATAACTGTGAACTGTCTGCCAACTAGCAGCACACCAGCCTTCTAAGTTTAACAAGTAAGTTCTCTGCTAAAGATCTCTACAGCCAATTGGCTGATTAGATTAACTTGGAGCATGCGCTGGCAGATGAGCAAGCAGGTGTTAGAGCAGGACCTTCTACCCTTGACCATGTCTAACGCTGCAATATTGGGGCTGAGAAATACTCATTTAAAGGAGATTCTGCATTATTCATCACATTCATTGATTTTAGGCCTACATTTAATTTCATTTCCAGAACGTTGTGGGGATAAACTCATAGATTCTCCTACCGAGAGACACTTATTACGTTAATATATAACTTTTTTATGAGCATTCCTGAATAAAGGCTGACTGTAGTGCACAAGGCCATTATATTAAAGAGATTCCAAACCAAAACACAAGACGGGGTATTTGGGGCCCCCTCTTGTCTAATTGGCCCTTTAACCTCCGCTAACTCCACTTTGAGAAAAGGGATGGGAGCCAATGCCATTCTCTGGGTATGCACCTATCTGGAGTCTGAAGGGATCCTAACCCAGTATCCGGTAATTATTTCCAGTTACCAAATTGACCCAGATTCTTTGCTGATTAATTCTGACTTTGGCAATTCTAACCTAAAGATATCCCCAACCTGGCCTTTAGAGGCCTCTCTTGGCTAGGTTTTTCTCCTGGGTGTGTGTGTGTGTGTGTGTGTCAGAAAAGGACCCAAAGATACATCAAAGATATGGGGAGTCTTCAGGTTAAACAACAGTTGGGACTGGAATTTCTGTCACTTGGTGATGCAGTCATAAATCACGATGTCACATGACTGCTTTGCTTAGTGAAGGCAATTCTGGCAGTCCTGGTTGCCATCCTAACCTGAGGATCAGGCAGATTGTTGAGGAGGAGGAGGAAGAGCCAGTGGGAATCCAGGTAGAGGCTGTAGGGGGTGGAGGTTACCGCAGGCAAGTGCTCCCGAATAGGGACAGTGCATGGAGGCTGCGGGTGGGTGCTGTGGGACTGTGCTGTGGAGCACAGGAAGGCAAAGGAGCAGCGAGAGCCACCTTCGCCACTGGCTTTGCTTGTAGAAAGTCAGCGGGGAACATTAAAAATCACACCACTGTGACTTACTGCAGTGTGCTGCAATCACAATTACCTGAGCGCAAGGGGGCTGGTTACAAATCCCTTTGTTTAGCACCATTGTAACTTTGAACAGTCACTGAACAAGTAGCCGTAACTTGAGGACTACCTACCGGACGATAGCATCCCATGGTATGTGAGTTTAGGAGTGCATGCCTCAGGGGGTGCAATGATTTACACCACCTGAGGCATTGGTTCAAGGTCACCATTCAGTCCAGGTCCACTCAGAGGACCTCTGAGCTGGGGAAGGTTGTTTTCAAAGCATCAGTTCCTGAATACTGATAGGAAGATAATTCCCAAGTTGCGAGTAAGAAAGCTCTTTCTGCACGCTTTCTGATCTAAAAACCGCACAACTCAAAATAATCAAAGGGTCACCTGATCAACACGGAAGTCTGAGTCCTGTTTGACTGCACAGACATGTTCTTTGCACACTCTTCCTTTCTCTCTCTCAGAATCACACGGCCACTTCTTTCCCAAAGGGGTGAACAATTTGACTTTAAAATACAAATCTGCCTTTGGTTCCAAAATCAGGGGTCCACTTGATGAGGTCTGCTCTCCTCCCACACACCCCCCCCATGGCTGGCTTTCTTGCCCTTTCCCTTGTTGCCCCCCCCCCGAGAAAGGGGCAGGACCAGAATACAGTCCTCAAAGACTTTGGGGCATCTCGCCCTCCCACCTCTCCCTCTGTCTAGGGGAGAGTGGCTTTTCTGTGTGACATTGTTTTAAAGAAAGGACAGAGGGAACAGTTATGCTCACCGGCCGGCCCGGCCGGCTGTTTCTCCAGGTGCCACAGCTGCAGCTGCCATTCCTCTGGTGCTCTCCATCACCCCGTCATCACCTTACCCAACATCCATCCCTTGGGGGGGGGACTCCCATAGGCAACACCATCGGTGTAGCCCACCCCAAACCCCTTCCCCAACCCTCGAAAATGCACAGGTCCAGAAAGAGAAGCGCCCGTTGGAGTCCTGGACCTCGAAGGAGACCTCGGGAACGGCGCGAGTGGGCTGAACTGCCTAAAGGGCGGAGGCAGAGGCCCAGAAGGTCTCGGGGCAACACCACCACCCCGCCTTTGGGGAGCCCTCAAGCCGCAGCCTGTAAGCCGGACCCTCTGAACCGGCCCGGCAGCCTCCAGAGGAGAGCGGGGCCAGGGTAGCTCTAACTCCGGGACGCTCCCTGAGCCAGGCAAAGCCGCGCGCCCCAGGCAGGACCCCTCCCTTTGACCCGGCCTCCGGGGCGCCGCTCCTTCGGATCCAGCGTGGGGATCAGCGGCGGAGCGAAGCGGGCGAGGTCTCGAGCGGAGGTCCCGACCTGGAGAGGCGCGAGTGCCTGGCGGGCCCCCCAGGCTTGAGCTGCGGCTCCGTTCTCCGCCGCCGGGCCAGTTTCGTCCCCCGAGGGAGGGCTGGATTCGGCCTGCGGCGAAAGGCCGGTCCGGAACCACCGGGGGGGGGGTCCCGGGCGCGCCGAGGCGACTGGCTCACAGCCGGGGCTTCTTTCAAAGTCGCTTTTTATTCAAAGGAAACGAAACCGGGGAGGGTCCATGAACCACCCGACAGCAGGCTGGGATTTTCTCGGGGTGAGACCCCCCGCTCCGAGGGCTGGGCTGAGCCCGTGGGGTCCCTTCGGGAGCGGCCCGAGGCCGGCTGGGGCCCGCGGCCGCCCCGCCTTTAAAGTGCTGTGCTGCATCAACCGTTTGGGGGGGGGGACCGGGCGCCGCCAACGGAGCCCGGAAGGAATCGATTAAAACAACGCGGCCGAGGTTGGAGCGCGCGAGAGGAAGGAGGGGAACCGCAGCTACGCCGGTAGCCCCTGCACGTCGCCCCTCGGAGAGGAGCCCGGAGCGAGCCCCCCCCCGACCCCCAGCTCCGAGCCGGGGCGGGGCGACGAGGGCGCAGCGGGCGGGGGAAGCGGAAGGGGGGAGAGAGACCCGCCCGGCCCGGCCCTTCGGCAGTCTTGTTCGCCTTCAAGGTCCCGATCCGGTCCGGCGCCACTTCTATTTACACGACCGGGAAGCGGTCACTCCGAAGGCGCTCTTCCGGGGTCTCTGCTGGATTCGGAGAGGCCCCGAGCCCCGCTGGCGCCCCGCCCCGTCCAGGGGATCTCCGGGGGGGGCGGAGGTCCTCACTGGGGCAACAAGGGGGGCTTGAAGGAGCAGTTGCCCGCGCAGTGGCGGGGAGTCAGCATCTTGCAGGAAAAGTGGTGCAGCGCGTCGTGGGCCTCTGCGAGGGAAGCGAGAGAAGCGGCTCCGTCACTCTCGGCCCAGCAAAGGACCCTCCCTCGCCCCTGCCCGCTTCCCCCTCCCTTCCCCGGCAGGGTCGCTCCCCGGGCCGGGCCAGGCCTCCCTCCAACCGAGGCCGAGGGCTGGCAGTACCGCGCAAACGATTTCTCTCCCCCGGGAAGGCCGGGGCCCGCCCTGCTGAGACCTGCTCGGGGCGGCCCACCCAGGGACTGACGAGCTCTGGCCCAGACCGGCCAGATGCGGGGGGGGGGTTCCCGAGGCTATGGCCAAAAAAGCCAAGACGGTCGTTTTGGCCGTATCCTGCGGACACCCCGCAACTCCTGAGCGTAATTTTCCCCATCGTGGGATGAGTCTCCTGCGCAGGGCTGGGCCAAACCTTCTCCTAGAAGGCAATTCCAAACCAAGGGGGCAGCGGGAGGTGTCCAAAAGGCGGCAAGGCCGGTTCCCTTTTGCCCGGCTGGATTCGAAGGGGAGAAACGCAGCCAGAGGCCAGGTTAAGGAACCAGAAGCGCTGGCTTCACCTCCCGGGCCGAGGGGCAAATCCGGCGTGGGCCCCAAAGCGAATGGGATCCAGTCGGACTTCCACCCCTCCCCGCATCGGATTTGACAGCTTTTCTGCGGGGGGGGGCAGAGATTTGGTAACCGGCCTCCTCCTGGGGCGCTGAAAGGGCTCCCGAAATCTTACAGCTGTTTCTGCGCAAGAGGCGTAAGCGGGTCCGTAAAGGAGAAGAGCCGTCGGGTCCCCGCTGCTCCTGCAGTCGAGGCTCCGTTACCCAGCTAGATCCCCGGGGCTGGTGCTTAAGCGGGCGCGTTAAGGGGCCAGCAGGCGCGACGGGCTAGAGGCGGCCAGCCTGAGTCCCGCTCAGGGCCGCTTGGTTCTGCCAGAGGGCGCGGATGTCTCAGTTCTCCGTTCGGCCGCTTCGCAGGGCCGGGAACGATTCCTGCCAGCTTCCTCGTGTCCGAACTTCGACGGCGCTGCCCTTGTGCGCTCTGGCGTAGAGGCTGCCACCCACCTTTGAGCTTCTGCTGAATGGCGTAGCGGGCCTTCCGTTCCTGGTCGAGCTCGTTGCACAGGGTATCTGCGGAGGACAGGAGGAGCTCGGGCGGGGCCGGCAAGGGAGCGGCCTCTCGGGGCGCCCCCCGCCCCAGGCCCCCTCCCCCCGCCGGGCTGACTCGAAGGCCGCAGCCCTCGCTCACCGCGCACGATCTGCAGCTGCTGCACCATCTCCTCCCGGTAGGCCAGCTCCCGCTTCATCTGGTCCTGGAAGTTGTCTGCGGGCAGCGAGGGGGGGGGCTGTTGGAAGGAGGCCGCGGGCAGCCCCGCCGCCGCAGACTGGGCCGGGGGAGGCCCCCCGCGGAGCTCCGCCCGCTGCGAGTCCCGTTCCTCGGCACAGTCTAACCAAACTAACCAGGTTCGCTTAGCCCGGGGCTAAACCAAGGCTAGACTGCCCCGGCCATCAGTCATCCAGGTGGACGGGAGACCCTCCGCCTCCATGGGGGGGGGGGTCGAGCTTCCTCTTGCTCCCCGCTCTTCGTTGGCCTCGTCCAGGTAACAGGCGGAGGCCAAGGAAGCGCAGGCTTTCCCGCCTCCGGGACTTCCTTCCCTGCGCCCCCGCGCAACCTGGCAGCCGGGATCGGCGCCACCCAGCGCAGGGGTGAGGAGCCAGTCGGGAAAAGCCTAAAGCGGGGGGCGTCTTCTGGACGGACCGCGAGAGGGGGAGGCGGAAGGTACCTTTGAGGCTTTGGAATTCCCGTTCCAATTTCTTCCTGAGATCCATCTGCTCCAGGAGGAGTCTCTGCAGCTCATCTGTTGGCGGAGGGGGGCAAGGAGGAGTAATGTCAGTTGGGGGGGGGGCAGGATTAAGGAGGTCTGCTAAGGGATCCCTGAAATAGAGGTTTCTTTCCATGGGGGAGGCAGTAAATGCCTCATCTCCAATTAAAGAGGAAATATAATTTTCACTTGCCTACAGTGATGCATATTGACATCTAATTATTTGCACATACACAGGCGCAACACACCCACCCACAGGCAAGTCAGCTGACCTCAGCTGACCTCGAAAAGCCGAGCAAGGATAGAAGGATTCAGGCAAGGATGGGAGACCACCTGTAAATGCTAGAGCTGTAGACTAGATTGTAGTTAAAGAGGGGATATCCCCCCCCCAAAAAAAAGCAGTGTCAGCTCCCCTCCAAATGGTTGAAACTACCAGGCGCCGAACTGTGTTGGAGAGGGACTTTTGCTTATGATGGCCTCCGCACAGTATAGCTAGATCTTCCTAGGCTTTGTGGGGGATTCCTTTTAAACCTGAACTTGTATTCCAGGAAGAAGTAACTGAACAGGTCTGGCCTTCAGCTGCACCTGGAAGGACAATCCTAACCAGGGCTCCAAAGGCTGCCTCCTCCAGACATTCATTATTATAACATGGATAGCCCCTCCCCCATGTAGGCTCCAAAGAGAGTATTTCCATAATGCCTGAATTGCCAACTTCCCAACCGCTCTGGAGCTGGAACAGGGAGAACCATCCCAAAGTGCCTTCTGAGAACCCCTGCAAATCCTCCTTGCAGTCCAGTCCGGGCGGAAAACCCTTTGTGTCCTGCCCTGAGACTTGAAAAACACACACACAGCCCTTTCCCTACCTCCTTTTCTCAGAGCTGGCCTCCACCCTTAGATTGCCAAGCCCCAGAGCAGTGGAAATGCCAAGATAAAAGTAAACTCTCTTGACTTCAGCCTGGCTTCTGATGACTTCAGGGACGTATCCCAGCTATGGAAGTCTTCTTGTGGGGCGTTTCGTTGAGATCTTAAATTTCACAGATCTCCTGGTGGTCTTCCATCCAAAGCCTGAGCCTGCTTAGCTTTTTGAGGCCAGAAGCCAAGAGCCAACAGAAGCCCACAGAAAGCGACCAAACTGAGACGCGGAGTAGAGACCTGGATTAAGTCTGCCATTAGGCGGACAAATAAATGTCCTGCCGATTCCTCGCTCAATGCGTGTGCGGGGCATAGAAAAGCGGAACTGCGCCGAATCCTTTGGAAGCGTTTCCCTCTCCGCCCTCTGATTCGGAAGGTGCAGCCCAGGCTCCGCGTTCCCTTCATAACTGGCGCACCCGCATCCCGAATCCCGATGCCCCTACCTCTTGCCAGAGCGCCCAGGTCCTTCTCCGCCAGCTGAGTCCCAGTGACGTCGAGGAGGGTCACTTCCTCACCTAGAAGAGAGAAATCCCGAAATTCGGTGCCTCCCGGGATCCCTTTTCCGCTCCCCCCCACCCCGCTTTAGCCGGGACAGGAGCTCTCCGAGGGAGGAGGCCGCAGGGCGAGGAGGTCCCAGGGCGCTTTCGACCAGCCGGCTTCCTCGTGTCCGACGAGGGCCACGGGCCCTTTGCCTTCCAGGGTTCAGAATGGGGAATCCTTGTAGGAAGGCGGTAGTTTCACGTGAAAGCTAGCAGGGGTCCATTCACGTGTGGATAGGCTGCCATTAGCCTAGGCCTCTCCCCCCTCCAACAGCCTCAGGACTCCTGGAGAACCGAATTCTGCCTTTCATTTATTTTGCTTACTCTTCCTCGACTTTGCTTGTTTAAGCTAATAGGTTACTAAATTCGACTCTTTCGTTTTGCTGGATCTTATTAAAGGAATTTTATTCTTTCTCTTGTGCGTGCGTGCGTGTGTGTGTGTGTGTGTTAGTTTGTAGGGCTTTAAATAACTTTGCCATTTGGCTCGAGGAAGCAGGATAAACGAGGAAACTATTCTGGATTCTAGAACGATCCTCAGGAGCCGCAGATTCAGTGACACCTGTCAGAACAAATCACCCCTTATCCTATTTCAGCTCCCTGCCCGCCCCGCCCTCCCGCCAGTCTTTCGATATCTGTTGCGGGACCTCGGTTTTCCCTTCTGCCGCGAACCGACGGGAGGAGGCGCCGGCGGAGGGCAACCCGGCAAGAGCGCTCCAAGGAGACCCCTTCGGACAACTGCGCGTAGGGATGGCTCAGCGCGCATCTGGGACGTCTGTACCGTCCAGGACGCAAAGCTCCCGGGGAAGAGCGGGACTTGCTCGACCAGGGAAGGCTCTGAAGGGCCTGGCGGCAGCAAAGGCTACCAACCGAGACCACCGCCCCCCGCCGCCCCTGGCCAGAGCAGACAAACCGGCTTCCGTCGAGGAAGGCTGCTGCTACTGCTGCTGCGGAGAAAACCCGGTTTGAACCGTCGGAAGGTGGGCGGTAAATGGCGCCAAGGCCGCTGCCGCCCTCAACATGTCCCGGGTGCGGGCAGGATAAAGCAGCGAGGGGGGAGCCAGGCGGGCCGTCCCCGAGAGCCCCTTTCGGTCACCTGATTTGACTCAGCAGAGCCTCCCCTCCCCGCCTCCCCCGCCCCCGCCGAATCGAAATGGAGGGTGGAGGACGGCGCCGAAGGGCTGAGCCTCTACAGGACGAATCCCTGCAGTTCTCTCCCTCCCTCGGCCCGTCCCTCGGCCCCCGAAGCGCCAAACGCGGGGCCCTTGTTGCCGTTAAAGCCCCGGGGATCCGCGTGCGAGCAGCGCTTCGAGCCAGGGAATTTAAACGGTCAATAGGACGATTCCGATATTATGGTAGATGATACTACATCTCCCATCATTCCCCGACAGCGTGGTCAATGGAACTGGCAGTCCTTTAATACCCTCGGGAGCTCCCGCCCCCGTGCCCTTCCGCCCTCTTTTCCACGCCCGCAGTTTCGCGCCCTGGCCGGAACGCGGGTGTCGGGCTGCAGGGAAGGGTCCGCGGCCGCTTGGGGTGGGGGGGGGCTGCTTCGCCGGCTGAATTCAAAGGGCGCGGCTCGTCTGCGCTTAGCTGAACCGCTTTTTCCACTGTCAATTAGCGCCGTTTGCTGGCTGCAACCCGCGGCGCCTTTGCCACAATACCTGGCAAAGGTTGTTAGCCTGGCCCGCTAGTCCCGCCTTGGCTGCTCCCTTCGGCGTTTCTGCCCGCCCCCTCGGCGTCCATCTGGCATTCTGTAAAGGCAGCCCCCGCCCAGGGCCGCCCAGGGCCCGAACCCCTTACCTCTCTCGGCGTGGGTCGGGCTGGGCTGCGAGGCGCTTCTTTGCCTTGGCGAGCTTTTCCTGCCCTCCGGCTCCTCTGCGGCCGAGGGACCGTCTTCGGGGTCTTCGAACCAAGGAAGCGGTTTTCAGGACAGGGAGCTCGCCCGGAGCCCGCCTCGGCCACAGCATCTCGGCCGAGTCCTTAGCAAGGAGCTCGCCGCCGTTCCAGGAACCGTTATCTTCCCTGGCCCGCCTCGCCCGCCTCCCCGGGCCCGCCTCCCCGGGAGCCGCGCCAGGCCAGTCGCAAGCCTGGCCCGAACAGGTGCGAGCGGCTGGGGAATTCGGGGCGAGGTCCGGGCCCCGCAAGACTAGCAACGGGGGGGGGCGCTCCCTTCCCTCAGAATAACGGCAAAGGAAAGAAGGGCCAGAATCAAGAAAATCTCAAGGGCCGTGGCGGGGGCCCTGGGCCCGAAAGACCCTCGCTCGCGGAGGAGGCCGACTCTAGCGGGAAGCCCGTCGAGGCGAAAGGACCCTTGGAAGAGGTCTGGCGTCCGGACTTAGGGCCGGGGGCTTCCCTTAGCCACCCCGTTTTTGCTCTCCAGCCCCGCACCGAGGCATCGTTCTTGCGGCTTATTCGTACCGTTTTTCTCTGGGGCGCAGGGATAGGAAGTGAGGGGTGGGCCCAGGGAGACGCCGGCTTTGAGCGCTTGCGGACAGTGGTCTCTCCCTGAAGGGTAGGCCTGCAAAGGAAAAGGCAGAAAGAGTTTGGCTCGATGCGCGATTGACTGACCATCAGAATTTAGCTTTGCTTCTCGGGACTCCGGCGCAGGAAATCCCACCGCGGCCGAGAATCCAGGAACACAATAAAACGAATTCATACTCCACCGCTCAAAGAGAGGCCAAATTGGAGACCACTCGCTCTTCCGCTGTGCCTCGGAGCCATTTTCCGTAATTCAGTGGAAAGAAAAACCCATCGACCTCCAATTTATTGTCCTTCTAAGGAAGGGGGGATTAGCCCAGGAAATGCCCGTCCCAATTATACTGTTGGTGCTCCAGAAAAAAAGAATCTTTCCCCAGCTCAAAAGAAGTCTCCACCGAAGAGGGCTCCTTTAGCATTAAAAGTCCAGCCCCCCCCCCGGGCCGTGCCCACCACCACCGACCGCAGCAATCGTATTTCGATCCGCTCCAAGGTAAGATCCGGGTTTAGACTATCTTCCTCTCAGTTCTACAGATCTGACTCCAAACTTCCCGTGTTCAAAGGCGAACAGCGGGAAATTCCACGGACATAGAAATTTTCGAAGCTGATCGGCTTCTGGACAGAGGCTGGGATAAGCTACGCTTTGGGTCCCAACCATCCGAAGATGGCCACAAGGGAGCTAAGAGAAAGAGCCCCCGTTCAGCTAGGGGGGGACTTTCATACAGCCACATCCCCATCCTGGATGAAGGCCCCAAAGTGAGAGAGTCCAGGAGCTTTTTAACGATTTGTTTGAGCTGCAAAAACAAAACAAAACCCCAATGGATCGGGCGCTGCTCTCGCCCGCCCTCCCCTCCTGAGCTTACTAAGGTGTCTCTGCTTATTCTCCTCCTTCGGCTACTCCTCGCCTCTCGTAGGCTTTGGAACCGGTCCCCAGCAGACCCCTGCCCCCTCCCTCAGATTTGCCAGACAAATTCACCTCCATTGCTTTGCCTCGTTTTTTCAGTGCAAGGCGATTAAAAGCAGCTGCGTTTTAAACAGCGGCTGTGGGGGGAGCCGGTTGGCTGCGAGGTCTCCCCCTGGCGAGCTCACGACGGCCCTCTTTCCCTGCCCCCCACCCCAGATTCCCGAGGCCAGATTGGGCTGGAGCTGTTCGTGATGCTGAAACGCCGCTCTGCCATGGAAAGGTAGAAGAGAGTCACCAATTCGGCAGGGCCTGGGGAAAGTCGCCCCCGGCGGGGCGGTTTCTCATTCGGCTGCTGGAGAATTTGCCTCAAACCCCAGCTAGGAAACCAGTCTGGTGTGTTGGTTAAGGCACCAGGCTACAAACCAGGAGTCTGGGTGACCTTGGGCCAGTCGCTCTCTCTCAGCCCCCACGAAGGAGATAATGGCAAATAATTATCTAAAAAAATAGCTAACAAAACTGCCAGAAGTCAACACTGATACACACAGACAAACACACACACACAATCTATTCTGGATCTGCAGATGTAGTGGGCTTGAAGAGAGGGCTGCCCCGTGTGATTTCGGCCTGGTGGCTCAGCCCAGCCAAAGGAGGCGCCTCTTTCTCCCCAAAGGGAGGAGAAGGCAAACTAAGCGCCCTCGGGCGGGACAGTGAAACGTGCCTGGCCGCCGGCCCCTTCGCACTGCCTCCGCCCGAGTATTACCGCCCTCCTTTTACCGCTTTGGGGCTGTCTCCCCCCCTCCAAGCGCCCTTCGCAGGGCCTCCACGGCCCCTTTCAAAGCGCCCCGTTTCAGCGGATGCCGATCCGCCTGTAGCCCGGTAGCCCGACCCGCTCCCTCGCCTGACTCGGGCCCGCCTGTCCCGCCTTCCCCACCCGCGGCCCCACCTACCTCGTAGCCAGCCCGGCTGCTGCTTCTCTCCGAGGGACTCTCCTCCGGTTCCGCCGCCTTCTCCGCCGTTGCCAGGCCTCCGCCCGGGGCTGCTGCAAGAGACGCGTCCGCCTCGGGCAAGAGCAGCGGCGGCGGCGGCGGCGGCGCGTCTCCCCCGGGCGCCTCGTCCTCCTCCTCCTCCTCCTCCTCGTCGTCGTCGTCGTCCTCCGCAAAGCGGTTCGTCTCCACGTCCACTTCCGGCTCGCCTGCCGTCTCGTTCCCGGGCGAGAGGGAGCGGTAGCTGGAGCTGCCCTCGCTGAGGAAGTCCGGGGAGAGGTAGCCCGGGCAGCCCCGCGGGCCGGCGTAGACCTCCCTGGTCCCGTAGAGCTTGGCGATGCTCTCGGCGTCCTTCACCACCGGGCGGAAGGCCGAGAGGTAGCTGCCCTTCCTGGGGAGCGGCAGGGGCGCCAGCAGGGCCTCGTCGCCGGAGCGCTCCTCCTCCCCGAGGGCCGCCGTGGCTCTGGAGAGGGCGCTGGGGCAGCGCTCGCCCTCGCCGCCGCCGCCGCCGCCCTCCTGCGGGGTGGCGCTGCTCCGCTCGCTGCCGGACGGCTCCGAGCCCTCCAGGTCCACGTGGCCGCGCAGTCCCAGCGGTTCGGCGGCGGCGGCGGCGGCGGCGGCGGCGGCCGCCACCACCACGGCGGTGGCGGCCGCTTTGGCTTGGCTCTGAGCGGGGTAGGGCGGCACCGGGAGGCTCCCGGAGGCCGGCCAGAACATGGGGAAGGAGGGGTAGACGCCGCCCTCCTTGGCGGCAGCGCTGGGGGGCTGGGGCGGGTGCGGCGGCGGGTGCGGCGGCGGGTGCGGCGGCGGGTGCGGGTGCGGCGGCCCCCAGAACAGGCCCTGCGTCAGGGCGGCCGCCTTGCTGGGGTCGCCGCCGGCGCCGCCCAGGGGGTCCTCCTGCTTCTTGGGGCACAAGCCGAAGGCGGCGGCGGGGAAGCCGTAGGGAGGCGGGAAGAGCGGCGGGGGCAGCTTCTGCAGCATCCCGAAGCCTTTGCTGGGCACCGGGATGACCGGGTAGCTTCGTACGGCGGCCGCGGCCGGGCCGTGAGCCCCCGCGGGCAAGCCCAGCCCTCCGCGCTCCGTCCCGGCGGGCTCGTCGGCCCCGCCGCTGCAGCGCAGGCTCTTGTGCGCCGGGGCCAGGTCAGCCGGGGCGGGCGGCGGCGGGTGCAGCGCGCTCTTGGCCGCCGAGGAGCCGCCCCCGCCGCCCTGCAGGGAGAAGGTCCGCTTGCGGGTGCCGCCGTTGAACATGGCCTTGACGTCCTCCCAGGCGTGGCTGAGGTCGTCGGCGGCGCCCTTGTCGCTGAGCTTGAGGTGGCGGCGCCAGGAGTTGAAGTTGGCGGCGTCGGGCTGCGTATACTTGGCGTCGGGCGTGCGGTGCGAGTGGAAGATGAACTTGTTGGGCGAGAAGTACATGCTGCAGTAGCTGCACTTGATGCACTTGGCGCGCGAGCTGTTGTAGCGCGCGGGGATAAAGCTGCCGCGGGAGCCCCACGCGCACTCGTGCACCACGTCGAAGGCGAAGTTCTCGGGCAGCTTGGGCGGCTTGTGCTCGCCCAGGAAGGACTTGCAGAGCCGCTCGGCCTCGCGCTTGGTGATCATGCCGCAGCGGCGCGAGGAGATGGGCATGGCGCCGGCCCGGCGCAGGATCTCCAGCTGCACCGGCGTGCACTGCACGCAGGTGATGCCCAGCGCCACCCGACGGGTGTGGATCTCATTGTAGCTGTAGTTCTTGAGCAGCGTGTTGGAGATCTGCGCCAGGCAGAGGCGCTCCTGCCCGTCGATGACCAGCGAGACGATGGGGACGCCGTAGAGCGAGGTCTCCCCGACCTGGTTGGGCTTCAGAGGGCTGGGGCCGGCGTAGGGCTGCAGCTCCTGCTTGGAGTGAGGGGAGGACGAGGAAGAGGACGAAGCTGAGGACGACGAGGAGGAGGAGGAGCCAGATTCGCGCCCCGCTCCCAGCTGACTGGCGGCGGCCAGAGGCTCCATCTCTGCCGCGGGCGGCCGGACCCCTGCAAAGGAGGAGGAAGCGGGAGAGGCGCTGAGCGAGGCTCCGGCCAGCTGGACGGCCGGGCCCGGGGACGGCCGGACTGAAGCTGAGCCGACGCCGACGCCACCCTGGGCCGGGACGGGGGCCGGCCTGCCGCCCACGTTCGGCGGGAGGGTCTCTGCCGCAGCCCAGGCCGCCCCCTCCCCGGGGGTCTCCCTCGGAAGCTCTCCGGGCGGAGAAGAGCAGGCGGAGGCGGGGGAACGCCGGCGCCCGCCTGAACGGAGGCCCGCGGCCAGGTCCCTTTCGGAGGGCGCTTGAGAGCCCAACAACTCGGGGAAGCGGAGGGCTGAGCCCGCTCCCGAAAGGAGCAATCCTCGCACCGGTTGTCCTTCCCGCTTTCTTGCCCCCCCTTTAAAAGACGCATTAAAAATCCAGAGGCTATAAGCCACGAATTGCAATTACACATGACCGGGATTATCCTGGTCACTGTTGGTGTGGCGGGGGGAGGAGGGGGAGGGAGAAAGCGGAGGCTTCCGGCGGGAGGCCCGGGGAGGATTTACGCGTGCGAGAGGAGCTGTCCGTCCTCTCGTCAGCCAGAGGTGCTCTCGCGCCCTTCTCGGCGGACCCGCCGGGGCCGAAGGAGCTGCTCCCCGGCCGGAGCAGGAATCCTGCCCCAATCCCGGGTCCCTCCTGCCCGGGGGTCGCCCCGCGGCCGAGCCCAGCCGGCCCAGGCGAGAAACCGCCCCGGCAGCTCTCCAGCCACCGGGCGACGGAGGAGCCTGCCCTTGCCTGGCATTTCCGCCCTCTTTTTCCTTCTGAACTTTCTCACCTCTAAATGGGATGAAGGGCTCGGTCGAGAAGCGGGTGAGCCGCCGCGGCTAATCCGGCCCCGCCGCTCCTCTAATACCTGCCCGGGAGACGCGAAAGCTCCTCCGGCGGAAAAGAAAACCCAGAGGCCAGGATTAAAGGCGGCTCTCGGGTCATTAGAGCAAATCGGCCGAGCCTTCCCGCCTCTCTCAAGCGGGGACGCAAACTTCGCTTCCTTCCCTTCGGCAGAAGCCGAGAAGCGCCGTCCATCCCCGCCGTCCTCCTCCCGACCTCTCGCCCCGACCTCGCCGCCGAGGCGCCCGGGCCGAATAAAACGCGGGCAGCTTCTCACCAGAACCTCCACCCTGAAGGAGGGACGCGCGCGCCATGCGGGGCGGGGGCCCGGAGGCTCCTAGCCGGTCTCTACCCGGGGGAAATTCTGTGCAGTGAATTCATCCCCTCCGACGCCCCTTCGAGAAAGGGACGCCTCGCAGCCGCTGCCCGCCGCTCCGGGACCCCCTGCCCACAGCAGGGAGCGCGCGTCCAGCCCGCGGCTGGAGCAACGAAATCGCACTGAACTGATCGCGGTCCAGCTACGCGAGGCGTCCTTAGAAAGGGGCAAGGCGGCGGAAAAGCCTCCCTTAGCCCGGGGAGCCGCCGCCGCCAAGCGCAGCCTGTCTTCGCCGCGATTCCCTGATCTCCCGAAAGCTCCCAGCGCAGAGCGGGGGTCGCGGCGGGGCGAGGACCCCCCAGCTGCGCCTGCCCGGGCCCTGGCTTACCGGCGGGGGTGGCGGGGGCGTCTCACTCAGCCAGATCCACAGGCGGCCCCTGCAGAGGCGCGACGACGAAGGTTCCGGCCGCGGCGGCGGCGGCGACTTTCATGGAGCTTCTTCCTGGCGGTCTCCCGCCCGTCGCCTCCGTCCGCGGCTTTGGCGAGGCGGGCGGGCGGTTGACCGCATGGCTCGGCTTTAAAAAAAGGAAAAAAGAAGGAGGGGGCAGAAAGGCAGGGAGGCGGGGGGAGGAGGAGGAGGCGGCGGCGGCGGAGGCGGGCGAGTCCCAGTCTTCGTTGGAGCCGCTGCTCCCTCTCCTCCGCCGGCAGCGCAACTCTGCGCCAGGCGGGCGGGCAACACCCACTTAGCACCGTTGCGCGAAACGCCGCCGGGACGCCTGTCAATCATCCGGTGGGCAGTCAATCCAAAGGCAGATGGGTTTCCTTAAGAAAAGACAGATTGCTGGCGGGAGGAGGGGCAGCACGGGGTGGGGGAGGAGAAGGAGGAGGAGGAGGAGGAAGCTCGCAGCAAGGAGCTGTCGGCAGCGAGAAGGTAAGAGTTCCCGCTGGCCGCCCACCTTTCCTTTTCCTTAGCCGGGCCCCCTGAAGGACCCCCGGCCCAGCCAGTCCCAGAGAGCCCCCTGCCCGGGATCGAACGCGCGAGACTTCCTCTGCCTCCCCCCCCCCGGCACACAGGTCGGGGCCTTTCTTAAAGGGCAGGAGGCTCCGGGAAGGGAGGCTCGGGGAAGTCGGTCGGCAGAGGGGCGCCTGAGTTCCACCCCTCCAAAATCCACTTCCACAACCCCGGCACGAAAATGTTTTCCTCGGTAGTGTTGCAAAGGAAAATATGGGGAAGGGGAATGAAAGGGGGAGCCCAACAAGAGAGGGGGAGGGGAAAAATCAAGTCTGGCTCCCCGGTGGCTCCGGCGCTCTCCCCAGAAGGTGGTCTCTGCCCCGCGCGCCCCGCATTTCCTTCTGCAAGTCGCAGGCGCGGCAGAGCAACGGCGCTTCTTCTTTCCCGTTTCCTCCTCTCCTTCCTATCAACGACGGCAGCCCCATCGCCGCCGCCCCACGCCCTGAACAGCTCCGGGGGTCTGGAGCGAGGGATGGAGGGGGCGGCCCGATCCGGAGTTCAGTGGAGGACTAGGTGCTGGCGAGACACGCTTCTCCCCCCCCCACCCCCGAGGGTCGCCCAGGCCGAAGTGACGGTTGAAGGCGCAACATTTGGGTGCCGCTCTAGAAACGGTCTACTTACTCTCTGCCCCATAATAAGCAAGGGGAGGGGGAGAAGCCCTAACCTTCCCTCGAAGGGCGGAATCCGTTTCCCCTTCCCGGCCTGGCTCAGCCGTGGAGCCGGCGGGGAAATCCAGGCGGCGTCGGGCACAACGTTTGGACCAGCAAGTCGAAAGAGCCGGCCTGTCCCTCCGTCGGGGGGGGGAGCCTTCTCTTGAATCGGGACATTTCTCACCGGGGGAGGGGGAAGGAAACAATGAAGAACCATCAAATTATCCGAAAACGCCGCCTGCGGACCTGCCGAAGAACCCGCCAAACTAGGGAGACGCCGGCCGGATACCTGGCCCTGAGAGCGAAGCGGGGCTTTCTTAAAAGACACTCGCCGCCTCTGACTGCAATCCAAGGCCGGCATAGGCCGCCTTTGGGAAGACGGTCGCCCCGAAGGTTCCCCCGTTGCTTCCTTTGGCCACGATGCCCCCCAGCGAAAGCGCCCAAGCCCTCCCTTCGACCCAGGGGCCCCCAGAGGGGCCGGCGGAGGCCGAGCGCTCGGACCCCTTCGCCCCCCGGGCCCAGCTCGGGCTTGCAAGAAAACCTGCTGGGGAAGGAGGTGCCCGTGAAGCGCCGCTACACACCTGGCCCCGAAACTCAAGCTGGAAAGGAGGCATTGAAAGCACAATTAAGTAGAGACGTTGGCATTATCGCTGCTGTTGTTGTTATTCTATTTGGGATATTATTCTTATCCAACTGCATGCCTCCTCCTCCTGTCTCCGGGTGTCCCGCCCCCGCCCTCTTCTTCGCGTTGAACTCGTTGCAGGGATATTCATCCCCCCCTCAACTACAATAAATACATTGAAACGTTATAATGAAAAACTCTCCCCCGCCTCGTCCCTTCCCGGCGCTCCATTCCTCAGGCTGTTTCTAAAAGCATCTTGGCATTAAGTGCTCTTAATGGACGCGTTAATTAAACTGTAATTAATCATACTGTCCGGCCCCAAATTTGAGCAATTACACTAATCAAACAGAAGTTAATAACGGCCCAGGCTGGCGCCCTCGGGCGAGCACTTTTGCGGCGCGGGCGCTCCGGCTCGGCAGCCAACAGCGTTCGCCTTTCGCCCCGGCATCTGGGCTCCATATTCCGGCGCTTTGTTCTGAAAGGGAAAGTGGCTGCTTGGGAGTTGATTAGCAGGACGCGCAATTTGTCCTTGAGAAGCAGATATGGGGATAAGGCGTGCTTGTGGGCAGGGGGGGGATTTATAAAGCATTATTATTGTTTATGTTATTAGTATCATTTTATTTTTGGTGAAGATGGCAGCGTTCGTTAAATGCTAGGAGGAGGACGGCAGTTCGAGGGGCAACGGCGTCTGTGTATGTGTGTGTGTGTGTGTGTGATGTGTGGGGGTCTTGACAATTAAAGGAGTTTTCATTGCTTTTGTGAAAGTTGAACCGATTCTCCCAGGCGATCTTGGGCAGAGAACAGCCGCTAGCCCGGGGACCCTCGAGTGGGTGCTGCTTATGAATGCGAGGAATTTTCCCCGCCCGCCCCTTTGCCCAAATCTCCCTCGCCCCTCCAGCACCTCCGGCGCGTAAAAGGTGAGCTGGAATAATCCTGCGAGGAAGCTCGGTGTAACCTGGCCTGGCCTCCCGAACCGCGCTCTCCTTTCCAGGAGCGGATCGCTCGCCATAATTACAATGCGATTTGGTAATTATTCCTCGACTTTTAATTATTTAAAGCAGACACATTGAATCCTACCTTGTGACCAATAGATGTTGCAAGTCCGGACGGTCAGAGGACGGCCCCTCCCCATCCGTGGCCTTTAATTAGACTTCGTCCTGGTAACCGGAGCCACGGCCGGGCCTCTCCTTCCTTCGGCAGGCGCGGCGGCTCCCGCAACTCCCCACAAGCCTGGCCCGCTTCCTTCCCCGCTCCCCCCGCAAACAAATCTGTGGTTAAATATTTAATAGCCGTTATTACAGCATTAAACGTTGTGGTGGGAGGCAAGCCAGGCGAGCACCTTTAAAGGTGAATCCTTTGCACAGGATCCGAACGCAGAAGCGGGTAGCGGACGAGTGTTTTATATTTGGCTTTAATATACCTGCAATCTAAGAGAGAGTTTTCTTTTTGGTGTGAATTGGATGGAATGCATTTTTTATTTGAAAAAAAGGTGCTATTTCGTTGGTTGTTTTATTCTACGTTATTTACCGGCTTGGGTGGTCTGTGGGTTGTTGTAATCTGAATTGCTGTACTAAAGAACAACAAACAACGTGTGAAGCAGAGATTAAATGTAATTGTAAATACTTACAAAGCGCCGTATTTAATCCGACTTCTCCACCCGTCAGAGCCTCCCCGTCCTCCCCCTCTCCCCGCCTTTCGCCCCAGGCCTCTTAACCTCTGCAGAGCTGCGGATATTAGACCCGTCTGTTAGCCCAGAGTGTCAATTGCAAAAGCAACCGCAGGAGGAGGAGGAGGAGGAGGAGGAGGAGGGGAAGACGAAGGGGGAGGAAAAGTTTGTGACATGGAAGGAAGTTGACCACCAGCCGCCAGGCAACCCGAGTATTTTCGAGAAAGAGCTTAAAAGTGATTCCAGCACTTTCCAGGGAAGCCTGTTCCTCAGAGTGGATAGGCAGAAACGAAGTTTGGAGTCAGACCAGCCCAGGAAGCAGGTGAAGGCGCAGCATTTTTAAACTCAGGCCCTGGCTCTGATCCCGTGCATAGAGCAACTAAAACCTTGTACTTTAAGTAGGATCAAAGACTGATTGTTGAAGATGCTCGAAGCTTCCTCTTGATCGCTTCAGGCGCGCCCTTAAAGGAGGACAAACCTTTGGAGTCTGGTAGAGGGGGGGACGGGGGGGCTAGCCCTTTTAACAGACTTAAGAAAAATGGGAGGGTGAGAAGTGCTCCTTGTTCCCTTACTTAAAGGTGCTTTATTTAGGTGTTTAGATATGTATCCTACCACAACACAAAAGTCCGAGAAGACAACACAATGTTTTCTACAAAGAAACTGCACCTCAGGCAGAACTAAGGGGCTCAATGTGGGCTCTGGTGAACCGGCAAGAGGAGCGAGTTTCATCCGGGAAGCTGAAGGCAAGCCTGACCCCCCCCCCCCAAGGCCCTGCTGCCTTGCCCACTCTGGCCCCCAGAGTTAGGAGAGCCCCGAGATTTGACCCAGTCCGGGAGGGTCAGCGCCAGCGATTCTCGAAAGGCAGCCCGACCCGTGAAGAACGGCTGTCGCTGTCCCGGGTGCTGGAGCGCCCCAGGGCTGACGGCCGGCCTCGCTGTGTTCCCGACTGCTGAGGCGCTTGAGTGGATTCCTGAGACAAAGGTCAAAAGGCCCTTTTCTTTGCCCTAAGTTCACCTGAAAGGTCATTAAAAATAAGATGCAATACTGGACACTCCCTCTAAGGTCGCCTGGCACTTCCCCTCCCTGGGCCCTCCCAATTTCTCCGAGCTGGAAAGATAGCCAGTGCAGGTCTGTGCACGCGCGCGCGCACGCGCGCGCGCGCGCGCACACACACACACACACACACACACACACACGTTTTCAATACACTAATCTGATGTTCCACACACACTTTATGTAGGAATGCAAAAGAAATTTTGGGGGACAGTACAGTATGTGGGTTCTACAGATCCTTCACAGCCTGGCCAAATGTTCCAAAGCGGATGAAGTGGGGGATTTTGTGGTTTTGTTTCTTTCTCTTCCAAGTACTAAACTGTAGGCTGAGACAATCCTATTTACACTGCTGCTTCGAGATTTTGAGGAAGAAGCATGGGCGCTAACTAAAATGCATATGCATGTGGAGAGGATGAAGAAGGAACAAAGAAGCACATTTTGAGGGAAGAATAATTAACAATCCTTGCAGCTCCTCTACCCCCATTTCTCAGCGTCCCACTTTTGTCTGGAAAAAGC